GAGAATCTCAACATCTTTCATCAGAACAAGGCCAAGGGCTAACTTAAAAAAATAGACCATCAATTTGTCATATGCATGTTTCAGGTTGCATCTTAAGAACATGGAAACAAACCCACAAGAGCCAAAATATGATCTTGAGTTTATTCCACCTGAATTTAGAATAAATTTGATGCACTGAACACTGATGAGTGAAGACCAGATGAGTTGTGCAATGACATCAAAGACAACATACAAGGAGGGTGAGTCGAAAAGTATTGCTACTAGCATTCAATTTCCTACAGGCACAGGGTTATTCTAAACAAAATGTGTTTAGACATGTCTTTGTGATCAGAGGATAGCTACAACAGATAAGTTTTTTCAGTAGTGTTGTGATAGTTGTGTGCTGTGGAGTTGGTTCTGACTCATAGCCCCCCTGCATAGGGTTTCTGAGGCTGTCAATTTTTATGGGAACAGAAAGCCGGATCTTTCTCCTGCAGTGCAGCTGGTAGATTTGACCTGTTGACATTTTGGTTAGCAGCCCAACTTGTAATCTACTAAGCTACCAGGGCTCCTTAGTTCTCTCAGTAATACTGTTGTATTTGTCTAATTGTTATTGTTGTTAAGTGCAGTTGAGTCAGTTCAACTCATAATGATCCTGTTTGGGTTTCCAAGGAGTGGCTGGTGGGTTTGAACCTCAGACTTTGCTGTTGAAATCAACCTTACTGTCCAATGTTTATCTTATAACACCACACCAGGACTGCATTTATCTCATTGTTGTTGTTATTGTTGTTAAGTGCCACTGACTCAGTTCTAACTCATAGCAACCCAGTATAGGGTTTCCAAGGAGCTGCTAATGAGTTTAAGCCTCCAACCTTGTGGTCCAGTGCTTATCCTACAGTACTCACCAGGAGTCCTTATTTCATTGGTGGTGGCGATGGTGGTGTGCCGTGGAGTCAGTTCTAACTCATAGCTACCCTGTATAGGGTTTCTGAGGCTATAAATCTTTACAGGATCAGAAAGCCTCATCTTTCTCCTGTGGAACCACAGGTAGTTTCGACGTAGCTGACCTTGAGGTAACCATTATGCTACCAGAGCTCCTTGTCTCATTTGGATGCCTTAAAAAAATGTGCCAGTCAAAATGGTGGCTTCCTAGGGACTCTTCTGGGTGACATCAAGTCAAGGCAGAAAGATCAGCTCAGAACAATATGTTGACTGTTCTTTTTGGGGGGATCTGAAAGGAGTAATCTTGATAGATTTTTCCTGAAAGGCACAGGATGACCAGAGGACCTATTTTGAAGAAATTTTATTATGAAGAAAATGGAAAAAAGGAAAAAGCCAGGGAAGTTGTTTTGAGGGATTATTTTCCATTACTACATGTACCTGTTCATTGCTGGAGGGTAACAAGGGCTTTCCTAGGAAAATTTCTTTTATGAGCCTTAACTTATCCATCCTACATCAATGCACTTGT